TTAGAAATGTCCCCAGCTTCCAGAGCCCATATAGTAGATAGATATGAATGGCTTGCTAACTGCTATCCACCAGTCTGGGTCTGCATTCCTTGAATTGGGATGAAAGTTCTTTTGCTGGTTTTCAAGTGTCAGTTGGGGGCGGGTGGGGGGGGGGGGCGAATACATTGGACTAGAACTGACACCTACACACCCAGTGGGAGGTGTTTTTATTTGACTGACAGGAAATCTGGCCAACTGAGGCACATTAGATTTGCGATCTTGATTATAGACTTGGTGAGTTGAGCCAGACTGGGCTGGAAAGTTCAGCTGCACCACCAGGGACCAGGATGCTAAGTAGGGCTAAATCAACAAGTCTTACTTTGTACCCACTGAACTCAGTGCGCAACTGGGGCTTCACAGCAAGTTGGGCTTAACAGCAGGTTGGGCTTGACACAGCTAGACCTGAAAAACCGGGTGAGGCAAGGAGGAGTTTTGATTGAGTGTGGGCAAGTCTGATTTCAAGGATCTGTCCTCTGAGTTGTTCACCTGGTGGCGGTTGGAGATGTGGTGGAGAGGGAGGTTCATCCCTCAAAGGACCACGCTTACTACCAGCCACGCTGCCAGAGGCAACAAAGGCAAAAAACTCATACCTCGACTACACGGAATCTGCTCTCCCATCCTGACCCATTTCTCCTGAGTCATCCTCCCTTCGCCCCTCTCCTCTCCACTCTCCAGGATTTTTGTCTTCTTTTCCTCCTCACCACATACTTGATCCATTACTGGTTTAAAGCCTCTTGGTCCCCTTATCTCTCTTCAGTTGCCTGTGCTTCCCTTCTTTGTCTTGCCACAATTTGCACTCTCTTCCTAATCCAATTCTATCTCAGGAAAGGCTCCTGAATCCTGTGGAGTTCCCAGAAGCAACTCCATTTAAGGTCTGGAACCTGCTTCTTCCACCATGAGAGTCTTGCTAGAGAGGCTGCTCATAGGGTTTCCCTTCCTTCCACTATCTGCCCCTGTTTTTTTTTAGGGGAGGTTGATTTCTAGCCTCATATGCTCTTGTTCAGGAATGATGCTGGTATGACTGCAGTCTTCACATATTGAGATTTCTTTTATCTTCATATTATATATTATATCATATCTTTGAGAATGATCTATGTGCATGTGACCAGAATATATATATATATATATATTCCTATTTGGGGTTGTAGTTTTCTGTGTTATTTTCATATAATGCTGGGTTCATTTCTATAAGTGGTTGGTTGGGTTCCCCTACAATTACTGAGTTGCTGTTGGTTTATCCTTTAAGCTCTGTAACAATCATTTCACATATCTGGATAACCCCACATTGGGTGCATATAGGTAGATAATTGGGTAGATAATAGTTGACTGCTGGATTGACCCCTTGATCAATATCCATCTTTGTCTGTTATTACCCTTTTTAGTACTCAATACCCATCAGTTAAGGAGTGACTATCCAAGATATATTAAGGTCCTGTAGAACTTTATAAGAAAATACCTCTGACCCCATCAAAAATGGAGAAAAATAAACAGAAACTTCCTCAACGAAGAAATTCAGATACAACAATGGTATTAATGGTATTAATCAGCTTATACCACAGAGACTAACACACATCAAAAAGAATAAGAACAAACAGTGCTACACAGATGCAGGCAGAAAGGGACTTTCATTCATTGCTCGTGGGAATGCCTACTGGTCTGGCCTTTTTGGAAAACAATAAGGCATTACTCAAAAATCTAGAAATTGAGCTTCCATATGACCCAACAATCCCACTTCTGTGAATATGCCCCTAGGGTGCAAAAATCAACAGAAGAAATGACACCTGCACTTGTATGTTCATTGCAGCACAATGAACTGTTCTCAGCCAGAATCTGGAAACAAACCAAGTGCTTAAGAATAGATGACTGGTTAAAGAAACTGTGGTACATCTACATAATGGAATACTATACAGCTGTTAGGTAATAATGAATTCATAAAATATACTTTTAAATGGATGGAAATGAAGAGTATCATGCTGAGTGAAATAAGTCAGGAGAGGGACAAAGAATGACTGCACTCACTTGTCATATATTGAAAAAAAATCACCGTATGAGACTAATGCCGAATGACAGTAGAAATAATGGCCAGGATGAATGGTCCACATTTGGAAGCCTGTATCAAGGGCTGGGTGAGAGGGAAGTTGGGATAGAGAAGGGACCATTATGACAATGATTGTTGAAAGAGATTGCTCTGGATGGGAGATGTGTGCTGAAAGTGGATGAAAAATCAAACATGATGTTCTCTCAGAATCTGTATTGCTGACCATAACGCCCAAAGTAGGGGCGGGGCGGGGGGAGAAAGGAGAGAGAGAGAGAGAGAGAGAGAAAAGTGCCTGCCATAGAGGCATAGAGGCAGGCTAGGGGCAGGGGTGGGGGGTGGCAGGGGAAATATGGGTAATATTGGTGGTAGGAATTGTACACTGCTGGAAGGATGGGTGTTGGAACATTGTATGATTGAAACCCAATCACAAAAGCTTTAGAATTGTATCTCTTAGTGATTTAATTACAAAATAAATAAATAAAATAATAAAAATTAAAAATAAATGTGTTTTATTAGAAATGATAATGGCAGTTCTTGTTCTTTACTTTGCATTGTTGACTTGAAACACCTTGTTCTAGTCTTCTGAGTTTTTGTTTTTCTTTTTAACTATTGTGAGATTGTATTGTATATTCGTAGTCCAGATGGATCCTGTTTTATGTCCATCCAGGCGCTTCATATCTTTTGATTGATGAGTTCACAGCATTCACTTTTAGTGTAATTATTTATCTTTGGGGAATGTGTGGGTTTTACTTATGGTAATTTTCTAGATTTTTTAAAATATATTTTTGTGTTTCTTTTCTTTTTTGGGGGGACTGGGGGTTGAGTTTGGGGCTCTACTGAGAAGTACTAGGGGCTGGTCTTTGCTCTAAGTCTGCTCCCTGTGGTGCTCTGGGAACCATGCAGTGACAAAGATCAAACCTAGGCACTTTCCACGCAGTACTTGCACACTAACTCTTGGAACTGTCTCCCTACCCACTATTTTGTATTTATTTTTATTTTTCCACATACATTTGTTTCTAACTTTTCACGAGGATGCTTACAACAACAACTCTCCATTTCTTTAATTTCTTTTCTAATTGTAAATGTTTTTGATTTTTGTTTTGCATCAACATGGGCATTTAATATTACTTTCTATAGCTAAAAAAGTCTTTCTTATACTACTATTGACACAGTTTCCTTTACTAGTTTAGTAGTTTTATTCCTCCTCCTAAACTTTGGTTGTTGTTTCACATCACTTATTTTTAGCTACATTTTTTTTATTATTTCCCCTTGCTCAAATTGTTCTGGTTGTCTGTTTCTTTACATGTAGAATTCCTTTCAACATGTATTGTAGAACAGGTTAGGTGGTGTAAACATGGAGCTTTTGTTTATCTGAAAACAGCCTTTGTTCCTCTGTCATATTTGAATGATAATTTGGCAGGATGGGTTGTTTGTGGCTAGTAGTTTTTGTCTTTGTAATGAGTCTATGTCATTCTACTTTTTTTTCTAGCCTGTAGGCTTTTTGCTGAGAAGTCTAATGAAAAGCTTGATAGAGGAATGTGTTTTATGTTTTTCTTTAAGGAAGGCCATCTTATTATTTTTGCAATGGTTGCTAGCAGAAGGGGCCAGCATTTTTTACTCTCCTGAAGATGGTGCTGTGGATTTAACGATGGAGTTGTCGTTTGTTTCTGTGACTTTGTGGGATGGGGGGAAATATGATAGCAAAAAAAAGGAGATTGCAAACCTTAATTTATCGCCCAAATTATTGATATGGTCTGGGGAGTTGTTCAAGCTGAGAATGTTGCACACTATCCCTGAGTCTCTGCAGTCACTCTGGTTCCCTATTCCTACTAATTTTCTGCCTTACAGTCTTGTCTAGATTATGACCAGAAGACTGAGCTGTTCCTTGGCAGAGGGCAGGGATGAGGATTTTACATAGTTAAGTAGGTAGCTTAAAATACCAGGACTTCTGTCTTTCAGTTTTAATTTTTCTCCAACTTTCATTAATATTAAAAGTGCAATCTTTTACCTAAGTTTGATTGGTGAACTGTCATTTCTGTAGTCTTGTCCCTCTTCTATTGAGTTAAGTCTGCCCACAGTAATGAGAGCCACTGGGCAATGTTCCTTTTGGTGATCTCTTCACCAGTTGATCTCATTTCTGATTCCTTTATGTGCCATGATCTTGCCTCTTCATATATTCAAACACTTGTATCTCTCGGGTATACCTGATTTTAGTGAGTAATGATTTTTCTGTGATATACAGTTGACTTCTGGTTGTACTTTAGTAGAAAGCTTTGTCTATTCCACCAATTCACCAGAAGTCTTTGCTTGGTATCTTCTTATTACAGAAATGTCAAATGCTGATAGTGAAATCTTCTTTATCCTCAGTGGTTTGGGCTTATTTTGCAAATCTCTCTAACAGTTTACTGGCTTTATACATTAACGTTTAGAGCCCTTATTTTTATCTTCGAGTTTAGAGTGACCACTTCACTGTTGCATTCAAGATAGCTACGCTCTGCTGAGTAATAAGAAAATTGTATTGTTATTCAATGTTTTAAGCACCCAACCCTTTGTCAGACCTGGAGAAGATATGAAGAGATCTGAAATATGGTCTCTTCAATCAGACAGTTTGTAGTCATGAAAAGGGGAACAATCATGCAAGAAACAAAGACTAGAACAATAGAAAACGAAATCCTAAACCAAATAATACAGAAAGAGAAGAATACAGTGGGAAGGATAAAATGCTAATTACCATATATGAAATACAAAAAAAACTACAAAAATAAGATGGCAGTGGTTTCAGGAATTCTGAGGAAATGAATAACAAGATTATTTAAAGATATTATACTTTGAACCTGATATAATATAAACACACACACACACACACACACACATCACTCCTAAACCTTGGCCATGATAATACAATGATTTCTTTTCCTTCTAGCAAGTAATAGAGGTTGTCAAGTCTTCAGGTTTTCCTTACCCTGATCCTTTAGAAGAAGGAATTTCATTTGATATTTATTCAACTTTCATAGAGCCACAACCAACACTGGATAAAGAAATTGAGGTATGTTTCCTTTTGTCCCTAAAGTCAGCCTACCTTAGCATTATTCTATAGGAGTGGGAAGAAAATAATCGAATACTTTCCTGTTGTCTTTCCCTGTGATTTTTTTCTATCTAGACATTTTTAGCTTATTTCATGGATAGACCAACTGATTGATGTCCAGTATTTTTAGTCACTTCCAGTTCAGCTTTCCCAAACTCACCTTCACTTTGCCAAAGTAGGCATTGCTGAATACCATTTGTTCTGTGATGACGAATGACAAATAATGAAAATTGTAGAAAATGTCATATCAGAATTCTCCTCCATACCTACCTCATTCCTAATAAAACATATCCACCAGAAGTTCATATATATGTATATATTGCTTAAAATCCCAGAAATCACAAGATGTTCTTTACTTTCAATATTCCAGAGTTTGGATCAAAAACAACAACTTGCGCAATCCCAGTTAGAAGCTGACACTTCAGAAAAAGATCTTTTAGCTGATTTCACGATTGAAGATATAAAATCACTGCTGGGTCAAGTCACAGATGACATTTTAATCGACATCAAGGTACTCAAGCTTGATATGTTCTCACTTATTTTATTACTAGTTAATTATCCAACCTCAACTTTAATGCCTGTAACACTACCTACTCTCAGCTAGCAAGAGTGATTCTTATGATGGAGGAGTTCAATTTAACAACTCTACATAATTCTCAGTTGAGTCATCTGAGATTCAATAAGAACACAAAATAGATTTGCCAACAGCACAGAGTGTGGTTGTATTATCAGTTTATAAAATCATTCAGGATTGAAACTCAAAGAATAAACACAGTAAAGAATTTGTGCCTTGTCAAATTTATAAGTCTATAACTGTACCTCATGGTGTTTCATTAATAAAAAAAAGTAAAAAAAAAAAAGATTTTGTGCCTTGTCACACTGTAAACAATTGCTTATGCAAGAATAATTGGAGTGCACTTCCAAATAGTAAACACTGAAGATCAAATCTTAATTCTCAGCTCAATTAGAGCAATCACCAAACTTCTAAAGAGTCTTTTAAATCTTTGAACTCCCTTTCAGATAGTTGCTGGTTTTACATACCACGACCAGCTGAGCAGTTTACACAGATGGCTGCATGAAGACAGCGATTGCAGTGGCCATCCCAGTGGTATTACTGTGCTGTAATATGCCAGTGTGTATCAGTTTGCTTTGCTGTATGCTTATTTATGCAATTTTTGCTGCCCCCAAACACAAAGACTTGCATCATGTCCCAGGAAAATGGTGGTTAATAGTGAATTGTGTATTTTGAGAAGATTTATAATTGTGTTGCAACTGCAATGAGTCAGTAGGACATTACAGGCATGTTTAAAATATCAATGAGTCTAAGGGGAAATTTTAGTTGTTATCTGAACATGAGACTATATATAAAAAGGACACTGTATTAACAACTGATTTAGAAAGAGCAAAAGATTTCTTTGGCATAAACATACCTTGTTACTTGTTTAATCGTCAAATGTTAACGCAGTATTTACATGAACGTTTAATGATTTGGTGCCAACAGAATCAGCCAAAGTCCTTGGTGTAATAAAGGGTGTTTATTGTTTACCAGAAATAGTGGAAGAACACGTTTTACACAAAGCTTTATTGTTAACAACCCTATGAATGTAATAACTGGTTACTGTGTAGAAGGGCAGAGTGCAGTTGAATTAAGCTGAGTTTAGGGCATATCTCCTTTTTAGATTTGATAACATTTCATCTAAATATAGTTTATGTATAATCATGGCCTTGGGCTCCTTTGCGATCCTGCAGCTTTACAATGATTGCTGAGGAACTACCAGACAGTAATAGAATTGTTTGCAGGCCCACAGTATTAAAAAGATCTTTACCAAAGCTATGTTCAATGTAGTGAACAATACATATTTAAGTAGTCACTGAATTTTTTTAATATTAGGTTCTACAGTATTATATTATTCATTGTATCCTGTAACAGGAAAATAGTATTATTATAAAGCCACACAAATAAGTAAGAAAAATTCCAAATGAACAATTGAACCTTTACATGTGAAGGAACTAGAAAAAGAAGAATGGCCAGAGATATAGCACAAGGGTTTAGGTGTTTGCCTTGCATGTGGCCAACCCAGTTCAAATCCTGGTACTGCATATGATCCCTCAGAAGACTGTCAAAAGTGGTCCCTGAGCACAGAGCCAAAACCAATATATAGCTTAAAGGAGAACACATAAAATTAAAAATCAGGTGAAGGAGTGACAATAAAAATGATGGAATAAATAAATGGCCCTCCCGTGATCATTGATTTGCTCGAGCGGGCCCAGTAACGTCTCCATTGGAGACTTTGTTGTTACTGTGTCTGGCATATCGAATACGTCACGGGGAGCTTGCCAGGCTCTGCCGTTTGGGCGAGATACTCTCGGTAGCTTGCCGGGCTCTCCGAGAGGGGCGGAGGAATCGAACTCGGGTCAGCCATGTTGACTGCGTGCAAGGCAAATGCCCTACCGCAAATAGAAACCAAGAGGATAATATTAAAGATTAACAAAAACCATTCTTTGAGATGATAAACAAAATAAATCAACTTAAGTAGCTGGCTTTGAAAAAACTCTAATCAAAATAATCAGAATGAATGAAACAAAATTATAACAAAAATGCAAAATATTGCAAGAGGCCACCATGAATATATGTATGCAAACAAATTTGGCAGCCTACAAAGAAATTTAAACTTTTTAAAAATTTATAAACTTTTAAAATTGAACCAGAAAGAAAGAGATAGTTCGAACAGATCATTCACAAGCACAGAAATAAAAACGGTAAAAGTCAATATAAGAGCAAAATTCCAATACCAGTAAAAAAGCATTCCATGTTCATGCATTGAAAGGTTTTTTTTCATTTTCATCATCCTGTTATTCGTCGATTGTCTCGAGCAGGCCCCAGTAACGTCTCTTTCATCCTAGCCCTGAGATTATATTCAAGGCTATTTAGGAGAATGAGACCCATCATTGTTACTGGTAATCGGCATATTTGGTACGCCACGGGGAGTTTGCCAGACTCTGCCCTGTGGGCAGGCTACATTCGATAGCCTGCAAGTTTGTCCAAAGTAGAAATAAGACAATAAGATGTCTTTAAAAAAAAAAAAGTTGTGTTAAGATGTCGCGCAGCCGCGAATGCGGCCGTGCGGTTCCGGGATCTGTATTTTATAGTCTCTGAGTCTTGGCCGCTGATGGGATTACACTGCCCCAGGGGGCCAGGTGGTGGGTGTGACCCCCGCCTACTGGAATTTGGAGGATCTGGGTGGAAGATCAATCAACCCAGATTGAAAGGTTAAACTTTGTTAAAATGACCAGCCTTCCTAAAGCAATTTACACATTCAACAAAATGTCTAGCAGTTTACACATTCCACAAAATAGTAAAACCACAGTGCTATTTTTTTTTCAAGGAAATGAAAGCAACAATTGAAAAATTATGTGCTGCCCCTAATGCGGGGTGGGAAAGAAGGAACACAGGGAGTTGGTGGGGGGTTAACTTCTGAAGTGGGAAGCAGAGAGGAGGCAGACTCCAGAAGGGAGTCTGCCACTCTCTATCCACCGCTGCCTGCTGGGGAAATCTAGTACTTATAAGAGTTGGCTGTGAGCCTCGCTTCTTGCAGGAAAGGATCGTCAGCCCTAGACCTGACCCAGGACTTCCATGTTCTCACCTTTCCCTCACAGAAAAGAATTTCAAGAGTAGATGAGCAGAGAAGTAGAAGGAGAGAGAGAGAGAGAGAGAGAGAGAGAGAGAGAGAGAGAGAGAGAGAGAGAGAGAGAGAGAGGTAGCATGCTCAAGACAACACAGGCTTCTCTGGGGAGGAGAGAGGGAGCCCCAGGATTAGATAGGAAAGTAAGAAAGCACACCTCTCCAGAGGGGGGGATGCAGGTGACACATATGCTCAGTCACCACACACCCGCACTTGGCAACAAGTGAGCAGAAGCAGTAAGCCCGGCAGATGCACACGCTTCCTTTGTTCAAGTTGGCTTTTATGGACTACTCCCTAGCTGCCCCATGTGGGGCTTTCTACCTAAGGAACAGTCTGTTCCTAGGAAGATTCCATGAGAGTAGAGCTGGGAGTAGTGGATCGGCTTCTTTGGCATTCGTTTCCCGGCCTTTGCTCCTGCTGGAGCTTCTCTTGAGGGAGAGTTCAACTTTCTCTGAGTCTGTGTTGGTGCCAGATAAAGATCTTATTGGGCCACAGTTGTCGGTCCATGAGGTGGGTTTTTAGTGGCCTTAGGGCTCTTGGTTTTATCCTTCCCTGCCCATCTGCCTGCCTAACTGCTTCATATAGAAATACAGAAGACTCTAAATACTCAATGCAACTCTGGACAAAAGAAAGTAATAAAGTTAGAGGTAGCTCATTTCTTGACTTTATACTATTGAGTGGTGATGATAAAAGTATTTTTGCTATTGAGTAAAAAACATACGACCAATTGAGTATCTAAGAACCCAGAAACAAAGCCACATATATATGGACAATGACTTTACAGGGGGGAAATAAAAGCTATAACCATGGTAAGGCAAAGCAAAACCTGCCAACAAGTCATGCTGGAAAATCTGGGCAACCATATGTAAAAAAATAAGACAGTAATTATTTAGTAAAATAGACAAAAATTAAATCAAAATGAATTAAAGGCTAAAACATTAAAACCTGAAAAGACACACAAGAAAGGAGACAAAGGTGATATCCTTATGGACAATGACTACAGAGATATACCAGGCAATCAACTTCAATTGCAAAATAAATTTCAATATAAATAAATGAGACAGTATGGTATTAGAAAGCTTTTGTATATCTAAAGAAACCTCCACAAAAATAATCATGTAATGTGCTGTCTGAGAAAATATTTTTACACATTGATTCCTCACATAAGGGATTAATAACCAAAATATATAAGAATTCATCAATTCAACAATGAAAAGAATAAATAACACATTTTTTTACATGGACAAAAGACATGAATCAAAAAAAAAATATGCCAGTGACCAGCAGGAACATGAAGAGACACTCACAATCTCTTGTTAGAAAAAAGTGAGGCAAAATCACACTGAGACAATGTTTCACACCCGTGAGAATTTGGCTATGTAAAAATGAATGGTCAAAATCATTGTTGGTTATGGGGTAAGGAAAAGAAACATTCTATCATTGGAATTAGGTGGGAATTGGCACAGACTCATGGCAAATAGTATGTGATACCTTAAAAGAAAAGTACATAAATACCATCTGATCCAGAAATACAACTCCTAGGCATTTATCAAAAAAATAATTGAAGCAATCATTCAAAAGAGATATGCAGCCTTATGCTCATAGCAGCGTTGTTGACTGTAACCAAAACAAAAAAAAACCCTAAATGTCCATTGATGGGTAACTGATAAAGAAATGGTGTCTGTAGGTCTTAGGGTGCTACTCAACTATTTAAAAATTTGTAATCATGCCTTTTGCAACTACACAAATAGAATGCTGGATTCCATATGAAATTGAAATGAGCAAGTGAAAGACAATTACTGGATACTTTCTCTTATATGTTAAATAT